GCTCCCCACAGCCTCTGCAGAGGCTCCTTCTCAGACTCCTGTTCATGTTCCTCCATGTTCCAGTGTGGTTCTGCCTGGGCCACCTCCTCTCCCCTCTGTGCACTCTCTCCTAACTGACCCCAACCAGGCCTGTGTTTGAAATACCACATACGGGCAAATGGTTCCAAAAGCTCTATTCGCCCAATACAGTCCACTATTCGCCCAATACAGTCTCTCCACTTCAAGTGGGCCAGCCACCACCTGCCACCCTTCCTCCCGAATGCCATCTCCCCACTCAATCCAATCCTTCCCCTCCTTTAGGCCATGCTCAAGTCCTAACTTCTCTAGGAAAATAAAATACCTTCCAATGACTCCCTAGCCACACTGATCTCTCCCGTCTGGGCTTCCTGAAGCACTGAAACAGTCTCCAGCACAGGATTTATTACTTAATGAGGGATAGTCTTTTAATGGTTCCCTAAATGTCTGCTTCCTATTGTGCAAATCCGTCCTCCCAACTAGATGTAAGCTTCTGAACAATACAAGCATTTCTTTCCTTGGTACTGAGCAACACAGGCGATGTCCAAAATAATTATTAGTTCTTTGATAACAAACATGAAAAACCAAAACTCTACACACTATTTTAGTGTGTTAGTCTGAGAAAAACCTGGAAGTTATCTGACAAATTACAAATAATTTTTGTATATATTTTTATTTGTCTAGAATCACCATGTAGCATCACGAGGAACCCACATTTAAAAAGGCAGTGACAAATTCGTAAAACTTTCTATCAAATGAAATTCTCAGAACTTTCAAAACTTACATTATTGAGCAAGATTTAATATAAATCACAGAAATACAGTAAATAAGTATATTTTCAACGAAAACATTAAACGCAGGTAAATTTTTGTTCAATTTGTGTGTTATAATAACAGAAGCAGTTTAATCCCTCAATACAAAAGTCTACCTGAGACATGGGGAACACACAGTTAAGCCGAGGATTTCTGCCAGACCTTTCTTTAAGCATAGCTACAGAAACAAGTGCTGCTCATCAATACTGTTGAAGGGTCTGACTTTCAGGCTACAATGAAGACCAGTTCATCCACTAAACAGAAATAGCTTTATTTTTCATGATTAAAAAAAATAAATGCTATCCCACCTTTGCGATTCTCCCAGTTCCCATCAGTTAATTTTCCTCTCTGTGGCCACACCACAACTCAGCTGAAAACGCCTTGCCACACCTAAGTGATAAAGGCTCAAACCAGGGAGCCTGGCCTTTCTCAGCTTGGCCCCTCCAGACTCCTCTCTGACCACACTGGGCACTAAACACTTACCTTTGACATTCCAGCAACACCAACTGCACAGCAGCATAACCAGATACTGTCCTCTCCAAACCCGTGAGCAGTCCCCCACTGGTCCTCTCCAAACCCATGGGGTCCCCCACTTCCAACCCCATCATTTCCTCCCCGTGTCCCCTCACCGTTTTCTTCACAGTTATCTTTTTCTTTCTTATTGCAACCTTCGCCTCCTGGGTACAAGCAATTCTCCTGCCTTAGCCTTCCTAGTAGCTGGGATTACAGGTGCAAGCCACCACGCCCGGCTAATATTTGTATTTTTAGTAGAGATGGGGTTTCTGTCATGTTGGTCAGGCTGGTCTTGACCTCCTGGGCTCAAGTGTTCTGCCCATCTCAGCCTCCCAAAGTACTGGGATTACAGGTGTGAGCCACTGCGCCCGCCCCAGAGTCCTCTTGCCAGAATTGGTTCAGGATCCCCAATCCCACTAGGATTGAGGGAGAAGGCGGCCTTGGTTGCCCTCCTCTGGGTTTCTTTTGCTACATGTGCACCCTGGTAATAGAGCATTGACCATACTGTTCTGAGACTTAGTCATGAATCTTTCTCCCCAAATAACTGTAAGTTCCTGGAGAAGAAAGACCATGTTTTTATTTGTATTCTGTCGTGAGCTGCACAGTGTCTCAAATAAAGAAATGTCCAAGTCCTAACCTTTTAACGTGACCTTATTTGTAAACAGGTTCTTTGCAGATGTATTTAATTAAAGGATCTCGGGATGAGATCATCCTGGACCTAGGGTGGACCCTAAATTCAATGACTGGTATCCTTAAAAGAGAAAGGAGAGGACCTGAGACACACAGACACACAGGGAGAAGGCCAGGGGAAGACAGATGCAGAGACAGAAGTGATGCTGCCCCAAGCCAAGGGAAACCAGAGGATGAAAGAAGCAAGCATGAATTATTCCTGAAGTCCTCAGAGACAGCATGGCCCTGCTAATACAGTTTGGACTTATGGCCTCCAGAGAGAAAAAATGTGTTGTTTCAAGCCACCAAGTCCATAGTAATCTGCAGTAGCCCTAGGTACTAACACACAGTCCAAACTTCAACACGCTACCTACTACCTAGGGGCCGCTCAACAAAAACTGTGCTCAACTAAGATGAAGGCAAGGCAAGGAATGAGAAAGCATCTGAACTGCAATCTGGGTTCAGCATCTGGGACGTGGACTCAGATGCTACTCTACTATGAGAATTCTGGTGAGTCCCTTACCTACAGTAACTCTAACTCTTTCCCCAGTAAAATGACGAAACTGGCCCACAAGACCCCTCTACGGGGGACTCATATACCTTGAACCCTCTTCAGCCAGAATAACTCCTCATTTTTTTTTTTTTTTTTTGAGAGGGAGTTTCGTTCTTGTTAACCAGGCTGGAGCGCAATGATGCCTTCTCATCTCACTGCAAACTCTGCCTCCCGGGTTCAAGCAATTCTTCTGCCTCAGCCTCCCAAGCATCTGGGATTACAGGCGCCCGCCACCACGCTCAGCTAATTTTTTGTATTTTTAGTAGAGACGGGGTTTTCATCTTGTTGGCCAGGCTGGTCTCTAACTCCTGACCTCAGATGATCCACCCACCTCCACCTCTCAAAGTGCTAGGATTACAGGTGTGAGCCACCACGACCCGCAGAACAGCTTTAATTGATCCTTAATAGTATCTTCTTCCCACTCACTAAATTAATTTTATTTTCTTCTTTTTTTTGGCTCAGAGTCTCACTCTGTCACACAGGTTGGAGTGCAGTGGTGCAATCTCGGCTAACTGCAATCTCCACCTCTCGGGTTCAAGTGATTCTCCTGCCTCAGCCTCCCAAGTAGCTGGAATGACAGGCACATACCACCACACCTGGCTAATTTTTGTATTTTTAGTAGAGACAGGGTTTCGTCACGTTGGCCAGGCTGGTCTTGAACTCCTGACCTCAAGTGATCTACCCGCTTTGGCCTCACAAAGTGCCAGGATTACAGGTGTAAGTCACCATGCCCAACCTTAATTTTATTTTCATCTAAAAAGCTTTCAGGCAAAAAAAAAAAAAAAACTGGATTAAAATGACATTTCGTACTTATATTTTAACCAGTTCATAAAAATGTAGTAAAATAGTTTAATCGATAATATGCTGAAAATCAATTTACCACCATATCCCCTATTTTTTTCTGCAAAGCAACATTAGCAATTTACTAGTAGTTGACCCAATCCAGCTGGAATTGTTGACACTTTTAGGTCAGAAAAACTGCACCTAAACATGAGTCAACGTAAATGCCACTAACTGACCCCAAACCTAAATGTTTATAACACAACTGCATGATGACTAATTTTTGCAGAGTAACAAAGAAAATCTCCTCCAACATTGGAATTTTCTCCACTTGCACTGTAATTGAAGTCCCATACCGAAAATTTCCACTTCAAAGAATCTGGCTAAGAAATACATAAATATAACTGCTGCCACCACCAAATGGTAACGTGTTAGTAAAGGAGTCAAACAAAACAAAAACTATTTCACCCATCTTCAGGCCTCCATAAACAGACACATAGACACAGTTTTCATGGTTGAATGTTTCCTAATTCAAAAAATGGAAATGAAGGGTAAACAAAGGTGTTAGTAATGAAATGTATACCTGGCCTACCTGTATATACTCCTGCTGAATTTGGGTTACATTTAAAATGATACTTTAAGTGTTTTCATAGATCATGCTGCGGCCCTTGCATTCATGTTTGTATAGTGGCTGCCTTGATTCTTTTTTTAGGAAACCAACCAAAACAACATAAAGGAACCCCGAGCCAAGGGACTCACATTTCAGTTGAACAAAATACCCATGAGAAACACTTAGACTCAAAACTTTCCAAACCAATTCATCCTTCTGAAAACAAACTCGACAGTCACTGGGGCCAACTGTTCAGCTAGAATTGGCAGAACTACGTTTGCAAAACTGAACCGTGAATCCCAGCACAAGTGAGTTACCAAACTTTTTTCCTTCCAGGTGGAAACTCAATCCGAAAATCAAAAATCCCTCGAGTTGGAAGGCTCAATAAACCCACAGTATTCAATTCCAAAGTTTCTGGCTTTTAAATATGAGCCCCCACAGACACGAAAACGGGACTGCAAGGTACATAAACAGATGGATCTGAAATGTTTCCAGCCCTTAATAACAACTCTATCTTAAAAAGTGTTCTTTAACTGTAATAAAACTAAGATAGCAAAAGGCAAAGGAAGCGTCTTGGGGTTTCGGCTCGCACACAGTCCTTGTGTTTTGTAAACTCTACCACGTAAGTGTAACTTAATTTGCAAAGAAGCAGAAGGACTGGCGCTTGTAATCAAGCATTGTGTTTTCTGGAAGCCCAAGCCCAGGATGAATGAGCTTTAACTCTGTCGACTGCGTGTTTACTTGCATCCTCACGTGGCACACTGCACAGCCCAAAAGCGCTGCGCCCGGGACAGCGCGGGGCGCGCTAGAGAACCCGAAAACTTTACTTTGCAAACTAGTGGAGCTGAGAGGCAGCTCAGACGCAGATTCGCTTGCCTTTCCCTGAACTGCACCCATGCCAAGCACACGAGGTCTTTCCTAGCACCACCCCCTATCTACAGCTCCACACAAAGGCGCGTGGGTGCCGGCAGGACCCCTCTCCAAAGTTGAGCGGAGAGGTAAGAAAAAGCCGAGCGGCACAGGACCGGGCGTCCCGGGAAATACTCACAGGGTGACCGTGCGGTTGGGCAGAGTATCTGGGGGCAGGACCTGCGCGAGCTCCAGGCTGCTACACACCACCTTGCCCTCGGCGGC